GGTGGATGGACCCTCAGTCCGAGGATGCTCCAGGCCTGCCCAGGCACCCCACCCTCTATTCCGTCGTCCATCCATCCTTCCTCTTCCCGCTCTTTCTCTGCTTTCACGGGAATCTGTTCTACCACCGCCCTCCACCCAAGGTGCTCTCCTCCAGGAAGCCTACCCCTTTCCAGTGAGGAGAGGGGGCCCCTGGCTGCCCCACTCTCCACGCCCCTAAACTAAGGACACTGAAGCCCCCTAGCCCCACGCCCGCGACTCAGCACCTGTCCCGCCGACCTTCCCGAGAACCAGCAGCTACGACCGAGGCAGTGGACCGGTGGTGTTCCACCGTCTACACCTGCAGACTGGTGGGTAAAGAGCAGGATGGGAGAGACCAGGCCAGCGTCCTCCTGGCTGGGGGTGGGCTTGGTGCCAGGGGCTCCGGCCGCCTCCTTTGGAGGGTGAGGGCTCAGCGGCACCATCTCAGCGTTTGGGACACCCCCCTCCCCCCCGCCAAGTTTGCCACATTCCTAACACGAGACAGGTGAGCAGGGCCCAGAAGGGCGCGTGCACGTCCACCCGGTGCCAGGCTGGCACTAAGGCACTAAGGCCCGTGCCCTCTGCCTCCTGCTGGCACATGCGGGGAGGTTCACGATGCCATCGGGAGCTGCCAGCGGCCACGGAGAAAAGGGGGGGGGTCCCGTGCCAACCCGTGACCTTGTCAACTTTTCCTTTCCCGGCCCCTCTCGTCGCGTGGGCGGGGAGGGGCGGCCGTGCCGGCGCGGGGCACGTCGGGGGGAGTCAGACACTTTTATTGCCGAAAGCCGTCTGGAAAACATGCAAAACAAAACCGCGGCCGTGCGCGGGAGCGAGGTGGGGGCGGGGGGAGAGACAAAGGGGGCCTTCCCTTTGCTTATGGGGTTCAAAGGCAGAACAGGCCGAGCCGGCAGCCAGCGGCAGCTACACTAATTTTAAAGCCATAAACCGCCACCAAGTGCCCTGCGGGGAAGGACGGCACTGCAGCCCCGGGCACCTAAATAAGACACGGTTCATTTCCTTCGCAGCTTAGCCTAATGTGATCATCTGCGGAGTCTTAGCCTAGAGTTGTCACGGGCAGAGCGCCGCGGCGGCGGCCGCGGCCAAGGCGGCGCTCCGAGCCATCGCGGGGGCCGCGGCGAGATGGCTGTTGATTAGAAAATTTTTCAGTTTTGACAAGCGCTTAATGAACACAAATCGCACCTTGATCGGTTTCCGCGTGGGGCCACGGGCGCACCTGAGGAGGGGCGGGGCCAGGCCAGCGGCCCCTCGGCCCGCAGCCCCGAGAGGCCAGGGCGCCCACCTGGGAACGACCGCCTGGCACGGCCCGGCACGGAGCGGCTGGCGGGGGTGCCAGGACGCAGCCAGGGATGCGGACCCGAGTGCACGCGGGCATGAAGTGCTGTGTCCCCTGTGTCCCGGGACGGAGCCGGAGGGGGCTCAGGGCCCAGTGCTCGGGCCGGGGTGCAGGGGGCAAGATCAGTGACCGACGGGCCTGTTCCACAGCCTGTGTCTGGGCAAGAGAAGGAAGGGCCACTGCCCGGGGACCGAGGGCCAGACGCCCAGGGCCTGGGCTTAGGGGTGTGGATGTGTCCTCGCCGCGTAACTGGCTCTGGTGGGTCTGACTTGTCTCTGCGCCTTGTGGAGGGGGCCGAGGGGTGGACGGCGGACACAGAGCCACACCCGCAGCCTGCAGCGCCGCCTCCCCGCGCCCGAGGGTCCCGCCGTGGGTCCAGGCTGCCGTGGAGGATTCTCTGGGGCTGGTCGGGGCCGCTCGGATCCGCGCTGGGGCAGCAGCCAAGAAGAACGGCTCCCTCGTCCAATGCCGCAGCGAGAAGCGCTAACGCCAGCGCCCTGCGGGGTCTGGAATGCAGCCTGGCACTCAGGCGGCGACGGGGCGGCTCGCGGCCGGCAGCGCAGAGGGAGGGACTGGCCGTCGCTGGAGAGTGTCCGAGGGCGAGTCCAGAGGTGCACGCCGTCGGGGCGAGCTGCACACACGGGGCTCCAGAGTGCAGGCCGCCAGAAGGGAAAGAGGAGCAGGAGGCGGTTTGCCGGCTGGGAGCACACACAGGGAGCACGGGCAGGCCAGGCGCAGGTGCCAGGTATGGAGGTGGGTGTGTGTGCCAGGTGTGTGCACGTATGTGTGCCAGGCGCATGTGCCAGGCCGCACGTACCAAGTATGCATAACTGGGTCTGTGTACCAGGTGTGTGTGCCAGGTGTGTGTGGCAGGCTGCATGTACCAAGTAGGCATACTGGGTATGTTTCAGGCGTGTATGCCAGGTGTGTGACAGGTGTGTGTGCAGGTGTGTGCCAGGTATATATGATAAGTGCATGTGCCATATATATGCCAAGTCTGTGCCAGGTGTGTGTATCAGATGTGTGTGCCAGTTGTGTATGCCAAGTGTGTGTACCAGGTATGTGTACCAGGTGTGTGTGTGTCAGGCTGCATGTACCAAGTACGCACACTGGGTGTGAGTGCCAGGTCTATGCACCGAGCGTGCGTACCAGCTGAGTGTGCCAGGCTGCAGGTACCTGGCGCGAGCCCGGGCAGCCATCTAGGCCACAGCGCCATAAAGTCCTTGGCTCGACCTTGTGCTCCTGAACCGCCTGGCCCGTGCCCGAGGAACCCTGAGCACACACCTTTGTCAGCAGTGATGTCCGCCGTCCCGGCGGCACGGTCCCGACACGGGAGATGGATGGGGGCGCCGCTCAGCTGTGACGCCCCCTGGGCCCAGCTCTTTCTCATTATCCCCCTCATTCTCCCATCACGGTGCTCCCAAAGGCTCACGCTGAAGCCGCTCCCCGCCCCCCCTCCCCCGCACCCGTCCACGGCCTGCGCGGGTCTCCCAGCCGGCTCAGGGCACCCGCATCAGGGCTTGGCACCTTGGGTGGATGCAGGCGGGTCCTGCAGGGAGGGGGGCACCAGGCCCAGGTGGCAGGGATGTCTCAGCACCACCCTCCAGCCCAGAGCACGGCGTCACGGGCCCGACTGGAACCTCGAGAGGGAGGGACGGGGCAGGTCCTAGGGTCTTCCAGGGCCCCTCTGACCACCAGCACTGGGCCCACAGTGAGCACTGGGGTGGGCCTGGACATTCCCTCGATGTCGAGCTGCTGGCTCTGTCTGAGGGCTCAGGGATGATGTCAGAGACACATGTTGGGGCCACTGGGCCTGGGCCTCACCCATGACTCCACCTGTGGGTGCAGGGGCCACACCAGTGACCCCCACCTGCCACCCCCCTCCCATCACCACCACCAGCTCAGAATGTGGTGGCCCCCAGCATGTCACCGATACACCATGTTGTATCTGAACCCACAGCTGATGACAACGTCCCCTGAGAAGACCCGGCCGTGGTGACACTGGGTCTGACCCCGAGCAGGTGAGGGGACCAGCTCTGACGCAGGCCCTGGGGCACAGGGCCACCACACACAGGCTCCAGGGCACTCGAGGGGTGCTCCTGTCCCGTGGGAACCATCTGGACGAACCCAACTGGGCCCGTGTCCGCAGTGCAGGCTCTGGGGCTCATGTGGGCACCGAGGCTCTTGGGGGGTGGACTTGCTCTCTCTGCCGGAATCAGACCTTCGGGGCACCCTGGGAACGACGGGGCCCCCGCACTGTCCCCACGGAGTGGGTGTGAGAGGGAAAGGGCAGGGGTGGGCAGGGGGCCCTTGCTGCACCCCGTCCCTCCGAGCTGCGAAATTAGTCCGAGAGGCCTGGGGTGACTTGCAGGGGTGCGGGTGGGCTCTGAAAGGGCCCCCCAGACTCACATCCACCCCCACGCGTGCCATGAGTTGCCCAAGCAGCTCCGACGGGCCTGTGGAAACCGCGTGGACACAGGCTGACCCCAATGGCGTGGCTCCGTTCCACGGGTGGGGGTCGCTCGCGGGCGCTGTGGCAGACCTCACTCATACACAAGGGCGTCTGAAAGAGGGCTGCAAGTTCCCTGTTCCACAAGCGTCTTCACTCCGGACACAGAGTCTTACCCCTTTACCGGGAAGTTTGGCTTTCCTCTTTGGGGACCAGGACGGACAGAGGAGCCGTGAGCTGGAGCGTGTGCGCCTGCCCTCAGCGACGTCCCTGGCCCTGGCACTAGGCTAGGAACTTCCTTTGAGGCTTTGGGCCACACCTGGCAGTGCTCAGGGCCGACTCTAGGTTCTGCGTTCAGGGACAGACATGGGGAGGGAACCAGGGCTGGCGGCGGGCAGGGCAGCAGCTCCACCCGCACCATCTCCCAGCCCCACAACTGCCGGGCCCTGTACCACGTCCCCCACCCCCCTCCCCGGGAAGGTGGCAGCCCCTCGTGGCCAGAGGCACACGGGAGGGGAACTGGCGCTGAGCCTCCCCGATCAGAGACCCCCCAGACTGCAAACGCAGCCGCCTGCACGTGGACGTGGGAGCCCCTGACGGCCGGGGGTCATGGGTCCTGAAGGGGCACGTGCCCATGGGGTTCACCAGTGTGGGACGGGGGAGACGCTCCCAGGAGGGGCCAGGGATAGTGGGGAGTACATTCTTTCCAATCACAACTTTTTTTTTTTTAAAGCGTTTGCGACGTTCGGTTAAAAGCCCAGCATGGCACGAGGATGCAGGGGGCAGCAAGGCCCCGTCCAGCTCCACACACAGCTCCCCAGGGTCGACTCCCGGATCCCCACCCCTTCAGCCACAGACCAACCCTGCTGTTAGTTCTACCTGCTCGAGACCACCCGCCGACAAACGCAAGCGCGACCCACTCATGTCCTCCGCCGTAGGACAGAGCAGGCCCCGGGGCCCAGACCCGGGATGAGTGTCCGCTTCCTCCCGCCCCAGTACTCAGCCCTGTCCTCTGAGTCTCCCCTAAGGCGCCCCGACACCTGGGGACAGGAGGGGACCAGAGCCAGGGCCGAGTGGTGAGGGGTGACCCCCACCCCCCAGGGGCGCCAGCGCCCGCTGAAGGCCCCGCAGTGGCTGGGTGGCCGGGGCGTGTCCCTGCTCACGGGCGGCCACACTTACATGCAGACTCGGGTGGTAGGTGAGCACGCCGTTGTCGCAGAGGGTGACGTATTTCTTCTTCCACTCCTTGTTCAGAGACTTGCCACTCCGTTTCAGCAGCATCCCCTGCAAGAAAGGGGCCAAGCGTCAGTCCCCGGTGGCAGGTGCCCGGCTCCCGAGGCCGGCGGTGAACACGGCCCAGCGTGGGCAGCGCTGCACCCGGGCCCCGCCCTGCAACCCAGTCCAATCCCCTGATATGTCCCCGTCCACTGTAAGCGCCCCCTTTGCCCGACGCTTGGAGGCGCTTGCGGGAGGTACAGACGTGACCCCGAAGAAGGCATCCCGCCATTTATACCAGGTCACGAGGCAGAGGTGAGACAGCAACAGAGCTGCCAGCCAGGGCCTGGCAAAGCTCGGCAGGACCACCCCGGCCGCTCTTCTGAGTGACGAGCAGACGTCAGGTATGTTGAAGGACACTTGGCCAGAGGGACAATCCCTTCCCCTTCCTAGAGACAGCGCGAGAGCCGTCTCCTCACCTTGTGTTTTTGCAAATAAGAACATTTCATTTCCCCATTTCCCCCCCATTTCAGATTCCTAATTTATTAGAAATGAAATCCCATTTGCAAACTTCGCACCAGCATTTAAGAGATGAATCGTGTATAATTTACTTTAATCCATTTTTAATGAAATCATATTAGGGCGCCGTGAAAGCTATTCGGAGCCGAGACCCGCACACTGGAAGCATGTGTAATCCAGTCTCCCTTGGATGACTGATGAGAATTTATTCTTGTTTTAACTACCAATTCCCAGCAAACCTCCTGCCTGGTTTCTCGGCTCTCCTGGGGCGGGGAAGCCCGCGGCCAGCACGGAGCCCTGCCAGCCGCTTCCCCGCCGGCTCCCGTCCCTCTCCCAGCCTCTGCCCCCACCCCTCCCCCGGGAGCCGCGAGCCCCTCTTGTCCACTCTGCAACAACTGCACAACCCTTTAGCCCCGGTCACAGGAAGGGCGCCGGCTCGAGCTAATCCCACACCCTGAAGAAGTTCAAGACTCTCTGGGCATCTCCGCAGCCACCCCCCACCCCTGCCCCGGAACTGCACACCTGGGGAAGCACAGAGAGGAACTGCATGGGCCCTGGGGCGCGGCCCAGCCTGTGACCAGACCCTATCAGGGTCGTGCGTCGGCCCGGGACCCCGACCGCCACAGGGACACAGTGTCCGAGGAAAGAGGGGACCATCGAGTCTGACGGGAGCGAAAATGCTGCAAGTGATGAGTCAGAGAAAACCAATGCTGGGATCTCTGGCTCCTTAAGCCCTCACACGCCCAGCGGATGTGGGGACCGAGCGGCCTCGGACCCGGGCACGGAGCGTTTCACTCACGCCATGGAGAAGCGGAGCATGGGCCACTGACAGTGCTCAATGCAGTGAGTCCGCAGTGTCGACAGTCTCTCCCTCTCCATCTCTCTCTCCGTCCCTTCCTCCCTCTTCCTTTCTCCCTCCGTCCCTCCCTCCTTCTCTCGCTCTCCAGTTCCTCCCACAAGTTCTGAGTGTGGTCTTCCATTCCGCACTCCAGATGGGACAGTGACGACCCCAGCGCCCAGGCTAGTGGGCTGACGGTTCCAGGGAGCTGACCCCCTCCACTCACCCATCTTATGGGCCACACAGAGGGACATTCACGCCTCCGGCTGGCTTGCGATGCTTCTGTGAGCCTGGAGTATGTCCTCTGCCCGGTGGAGGCAATAGGACGATTTCATCCAACTGTCCTTCCTCCCTTTCCTCTCCTACCGCACCTGTCCTCCCATCCGTCCACTCACCCACTCACCCGTCACCTCCATCCACTCCCCAACGCCCATCATCCATCCTCCCATCAGCCATCTATCCACTCACCATCCATCCATCCATCCATCCATCCATCCATCCATCCACCCATCACCCATCCATCCTCTTCCTTCCTCAGCCCATCTTCGACCCAATCATTCACCTACCCGCCGCCCTTCCTTCGCTCACCGATCCATCCTCCCTCCCTCCATCTTCCCATTAATCTACACTCATCCACGAACAAATCCATCCATCCATCCATCCTTCCTTCCATCCATCCATCCTTCCTTCCTTCCATCCATCCATCCTTCCTTCCATCCATCCATCCTTCCTTCCGTCCGTCCTTCCTTCCTTCCATCCATCCATCCTTCCTTCCATCCATCCTTCCATCCATCCTTCCTTCCATCCTTCCTTCCATCCATCCATCCTTCCTTCCATCCATCCTTCCTTCCATCCATCCATCCTTCCTTCCTTCCATCCATCCATCCTTCCTTCCATCCAACCATCCATCCTTCCATCCATCCATCCATCCATCCTTCCTTCCTTCCATCCATCCATCCTTCCTTCCATCCATCCATCCATCCATCCTTCCTTCCATCCATCCTTCCTTCCATCTATCCTTCCTTCCATCCATCCATCCATCCATCCATCCGTCCATCCTTCCACCCACCATCCTTCTTCCTTCCTCAGTCCATCTTCCAGCCAGCCACTCCCCCTTCCATTCTTCATCTACCAGCCCGCCTGTCCGTCTGTCCATCCATCTCGCCAAGGTAACCCTGGTGTCAGAGTACTAACAGTACTAGTACTAGTACTACCAACCCCTGGCTTTGCCACCCCATCTCCCCGACCCCAGCTCTGCGGTCACCCCCGCCAGGGCTGAGCTGGGCTCGCTTTTCTCTGTCCGGGCACATTTCTCAGGAGAGAATCCACGCAGCAGGCGAGACGCGGCGTGTGACAGAGCTTCCGCTGGGCCCCAAACAGGGCGGCTCTCAGGGGACGATGCCTCTTTCGCTTCCTTCAGTTTATTTTTTGGCTTAAATGCATTCCAAACGCTGATTTCTTAAGAGAATCCACAGCAAGAGAGAACCACAGAATTTTTGTTTTTTTTGGTTTTTTGGGTCACACCCGGCAATGCACAGGGGTCACTCCTGGCCCTGCACTGCACTCAGGAATTACCCCTGGCGGTGCTCAGGGGACCCTATGGGAATCTGGAAATCGAACCCGGGTCAGCCGCGTGCAAGGCTAATGCCCTCCCCGCTGTGCTATCGCTCCAGCCCCCAAGAACCACAGAATCTTAAAACGTCTGAAACGATGCCCCAAGACAAACTATGCATCCTGCTGGTGCATGTCCCTGCCCGTGCCCCCTCCCCGGGACCCCCGTGGGCGGGGGCAGGGCTGGGCCTGGTTCCTGACTCTGGGGCGTCTCAGCGGGGAAGCTCACCCCACATGCATTTACTTCTCGGGGGGGGGGGTTCCCTTGGCTTGCAGCCAGCACCCCCAGTGGGTCAGGTCTATTGAGGCAGCCAGAACCTTCCAGAACCCTTGCGTCTGGGCAGAGTCCCCCTGCAGAGCTGCACATCCCTGGCGTGTCAGGCTCAGCAGCGCCGACCCCCACCCCACCCCACCACAGAGGTCGTGGCGGGTCTCAAGCTCCCGCCGCCCGCCAGACGGGGGCCGCCCGGGGCTCTGGCGTCACTGTGTGGGCTGTGATTCTAAGTCTCTCTGAGAGCGTGTCGCCCGGGGCTAGGCCTGCGCTGCCCACACGTCAGGACGGGTTATGGTCTCCCGACGGGCAAGTGATCCGGTTCCCATGGAAACGCTGTTCATTCCACAACCACGCCAACTCCGAGGGCCAGGATGGCTGCCCGGCAAGCTCGGACACCGGGCTCCGGCCCTGGCACAGTGTGGCCACCTGGGATAGTCCCGGGGAGACCCCCAAACCTGACTTGCTGAGGCCCCCAGCGAGGCAGGAGTGGACGTCACCCCGTCCCCTCCAGAAGGGCCAGTGCTGCGCCCACAGAGTGGGCAGGGGTGCCGGGACACCGAGCCAGCTGGGTGCGGGGGCACAGGGCGCTCGCCCACCGCCAGGACTGGGTGCGACTGTGACCACACTGGCCTTCGCTGTGGAGGTGCGGGGGAGAAATGCCCCTCGGGGTAGCAGGAAAGCACCCGGTGCCCAGAGCCGCCGTGAGCGTGGGGCCACTGGGGGCGCTGCCCAGATTCAGGCTGCAGGAAGGGGTGTGGGCTGAGCAGGGAGGCCCCCAGGGACCCCCAACGCCTGGTGCGGCCCAGCCGGCTGAGGCTGCAGCTGATGAATCTGGAGATAAGGCACTTGGGGTGGGGGTGGGGCAAGTGTTTTGAGCAGGAAACGAGAATTTCCGACTCAAACCCCTCTGGGCCCTGGACTTTGAGAATAACCCTGTCCTTGTTTCTGCCGTGAGCTGGTGGCCAGTGCCACCTGTATGCAGGCTCACCCCCTCTTCGGGGACCATCCCCGGGGTCCAGGGTCTGTCTGGACTCTATGGGGAACCGCGGGGATTGAGCCTGCAGGACGTCCACCGGCGTTTCAAGGGGCTGAAGGACAACGGGCAGTTCAAAACAGCGACAGCCTTGCACGCGGCTGGCTCTGGTTTGATCCCCAGCACCCCTCACGTCCCGCCAGGAGTGACCCCCGGCGCAGAGCCAGGTGGGACCCCAAAACCAAACCAAAGCCTCTAAGCACAGCAAGGAGTTGGTCGAGGAGGCCACGAGCCAGCTGAGGTGGCCACAGAACCGCCACACAGTCTAGTGGCCGGGGCGGGGGCAGCAGAGGTGAGGGCCATGGGGGATGGCGCCCTGGGCTCCCCGCGGGCAGAGCAAGGCAGGACGACTATGGTCATGCCCCAGCCTGCCACGGCAGCCCTCCGAGCTCACCCTAGCCTGTGGCATGCCCATGCACGCAGGCAGTGTGCGTGTGCAGGTGTGCATGTGCTCACGTCTCTGCACACGTGCCAGACACGTACCGCCTGCCCGTGTGTGTACACATGGACATTCACCCATGGAAGCACATGTGTCTGTGCACACGTGTCTCTGTGTGCGCGGAGAGTGTGCCCATGATCTCTGGAGGGCAGGGGGCTTCGGGGGGGGGGGGGGGCTGCTTCTATGGTGAGTCCTGAAGCCACAGGCCCCGCTCCTGCTGTGTCTCTGGGCGGCGACCGGGCTGGAGGCAGACCAGAAGCTCAGAGGCTGAGGGTGAGGGACAGACAGACTGACAGACAGACAGACCAGGCACAGAGCAGGGACAGACTGAGCCGCTCCTGAGGAACCCCTGCCC